AATCCAAAACTCACTAATCACTTCCGTTTTGAAATTGAAAATCTTTTGAAAAAGAACTTTCATTTAGATGCGCACTATTGGTTGTGGTAATATGATTTGTTTACAATAAAGGGGCCTGTGGTTATAAGGATATGTTTTATTTGTTTTCAGTATTCGTTATCCTGAAATTTCATTCATTGAATTCTACATGGACCTATAACTTAATCATATCTTTATATCTGATTTGACTTAAGTTTTAATTTTGATGAATGTGTCGCGAAAAAAAAATTGTTTGTGTTTCGTTTTTGAAAAGTTATAAATGACGAATCGAGTGCAATTCACAAATAGTACAAATAATACAGTTTTTTAATTAGATATATCATAAAAATAACAATTCCCATTTTCACTATCGAATCGAATTAATAATATTAATGAATTTTCTTATTTATGTGTAATCTTTATCTTTTTTTATCGTATTTTCTCATTCACATTCTCATAATATAATCAACACATACATTCAGTGCATAAAAAATAACAAAGAAAAAAAACATGACAAACAAAAGATCAATTCGTCGTCATCAACGTGTTGATAACGCAGAGTCAGCATCAGCTATTTTCTCCTTTGCCATCTCTAGGGATGGTAACGGTCGGTCGTGTCGGTCGTGGTCCGTCAACGGTCAGTCAAAGCCTTTGACCGACCAATAACGGTCACAGTTATGACCGGTCATACTATGACCATAAGCATCCATAGCCATCTCCATCATCTTCACTGAAAATTGTGCTTAGCAAAAGTTTGGATAAGCTAAAACATCAGTAAAAGATCAAGACCATTTATTAAATAAAGAGAAATAAATACGTTCGTTAAAAAAATTGTTAGAAAATATTATTAACGAATATTCAGACGTTAAAAAAACTTTGATGATACCAGAGTTGTGGCACTTGCTACTTTATCAAGGGCGCAAGGAACTCCCAGACGTCAAAGTGCATACATATTATTTCGCCAAAAGGGATATATCTGCTAAATTGAGATGGTATGTCTAGAGAAACAAGGACAGTGACTTACTCATCTATTGCTTGAATTCTATGACATTATACCAAATCGCATGGTTAAAACATTCAGAGACTTATCAAAACTACGTATACAGTCCCGTTAAGAAGAACGTTATTAATATTAATCAAGCACTGAACATCGACAATCTCCTACCGTCACAACTATAGAAACTACTTCTTCATCAAACAACCCCTTTATTACACCAGATTTTATTTATGTTCCATCCTTTAATGATAATTTTGTTGAACAAGATCAAACGTCCTATATGCCGGATAAAGAAATGTATCAATCAACAAATGTATGTTCAACCACAATATCCAGCCCGGTTGTAATTTACCAACTGTCCGGGATAAAGATGCAGCAAGATACGACGACGATGCAATTCGAATTAGTGTCACATTTTGTTAAAACCACGGTTTGGTATTCTACTACCTACGCAGTGAGCTATCAACTAACGTAATCACAATATCACCAATTTGCAAATCCATCTTTCTGCCAACGCAGAAAATTGTTCCATCACATGAAGATTTTGTCTTTCTAAGCCAACTAGGAATCGATCCTTATTAAACTTTCAACATTGGCATGTAGATCATCTTTTAAAGAATTTTTATTCAACATAAAATCAATTTTACAAGCAGTGAATATTTTATTAATTTGAGGAGGGCCAATACATTATAAATTTTAAAGAATTTATGCGAAATCTTCGCAAATATTACCATTCAAAAAGATTGTGTACGATGCAGATCGATAATTTGTTTTCAACATTTAAACAAAAAAGTTCGATATTTTGTGATATGTTGAGACCTTGATTTCCCAATGGCCTACAAAGTCTTTCAGCCTTAGTTTGATATATAAAGATTCAAATTGATCCGAATTATGCTTACCTAACAGAATATTTTTATAAGTTGATTTCAAACCCGATTCGAGCCAAATTTTTGCAGAACAGTAATGACTAATTTTAAAGTAAATAACGTACCGTTAATAAAAACAAACTACTGTCTACTAAGTCAATTAGAATTACATAGGATTCAAAGTTCGTACTGCATTTCTCAGGAAAAAAAGTTTGTCATTATATTTTATCATATATTAACAGTCTTCTACCATTCAACTAGAACGTTTATTCTATATATTATTAAGACTGTAATCCTAGGACCGCAAGTCCTAAATTTTACAGAGGGTGATCACGGATACCCGAACAATAAGTATTTTTTGTTTATTCTTTGTTTACGTTATTTACACGCATATTTATAATTTAAACATTTGTTTAGGATATGAATGCATGTCAATCACGACAATAACAATAATTTTCTTTTGAACAAAATGGTTAAAACTAAAGAATTGGCGGCTGAATAATATAGGGCAATTCTTTACGGCTACAAACAAGTGATTCATATCAAAAATTGCTGACAATGTTGAATGTGGTAAAACGACTGTCCATGATATGATAAAACGTTTTGAAGAAAAATGTACAAGCCTCACTCAAAACGCTTATTACACAAAATTCGAAACACTCAAAAAAATTCAAAGTTTCAACCGTTACAATTTTCGGACTCTTATAAAAGTTGGCTTACATCATGTGTTGCCCGCTCTATATACCATTAATTTCTGATGATAATAAAAAAAAAAGGTTGGCTTGGGCTTTGGAACGAAAAGATTGGACAATTGCAAAGTGAAAGAAAATTGTATAGTCAATTTTGCAAGGTCGTAGTTTATATGTGATGTACACCAGAAGACGAATTTAATCCTTCTTGTATAACTTCCATGGTAAAGCACAGTTCCAGTCGAATGTTTTGGGATGCTTTTTGTGGAATTCTTGTTCCTCTTCGTGAATCTGTAACAGGACAAAGATATGCAAATGTGTTACAAAGCATGCTATTACTTCACCTTACAAATTAGTTCCTCGCAAACAAGGAATTTTTCAAGAGGACAATGCCCCACCTCATTGAGCAAAGATTGCCAATGATGTTCATAACGCCTCAAAGATTCCTGTGCTACCCTGGCCTGTAATTGAAAATTTTTGAATGAAGTTAATAAGAAAGTCGTAACTGCTTAATCAACCCATAAGGTAAAATATGCATTGCGTTCATTTCCACTTGAATATATTCAAAATTTGGTTGAATGTATGCCTCGCTAAAACCAAGCATATATAGCAGCAGGTGGTTCAACAAATATTAGTTTTTTTTTTAATAAAATATATTAGATATATTCGGAACAAATAAATTTTTGCTTATTCTAAAAAAAAAAGTTAATTGTGATCACAGAATTTCACAGAAAATCACAAAATTTGGTTCAAGTTTTTG